CCCTTTCCCTTTGTAATTAATAAGTAATCTATGGAAAGGTACTTTGATTTTGTTTTTAAGATTTTATTTATTTTTTGACAGAGAGACAGCGAGAGAGGGAACACAAGCAGGGGGAGTGGGAGAGGGAGAAGCGGGCTTCCTGCCTGAGCAGGGAGCCCAATGCGGGGCTCGATCCCAGGACCCTGGGATCACAACCCGAGCCAAGGGCAGACGCTTAATGACTGAGCCACCCAGGCACCCCTGGAAAGGTACTTTGAGACCACATCTTATTCCTCAACAAACTCATCCAGTGCCATCTATCAGTGATCTTTCCATGAAGGTTCTGAAATTGCCCCTAAAGGAAGCTGTGGCAAACACTGTTCATGGACCACTGAAATCTCTCTTTCCCTGGCACAAGATTAGACTACATTCCCAAGCCCCTGGTGGCAACATGTGGAATGTCATTGGAAGGGGTGTGTACCACTTCCAGGCCTAGGCGTTAGTATGATGTATATACTCCCTCCATGCTTTCTTTCTACTTACTAACTAGAACCTATGGCCACCTGGCTTTGACCATGGAGATAATAATGCCTTAGAGCAGGAATCAATAAACTACAACCATCATGGGTCAAATCAGGCCCAGTGCCTGTTTTTGTAAATGAAGTTTTATTAGAACATGACCACATTTGCTCATAGACATATTCTCTATAGTTGCTTTCACATAATAAATGGCATAGCCCACAAAGCCTAAAATATTTATTGTCTGGCCATTTACAGTACATTTTACATCACAGTAAAAGTTTGCCAACCTCTGCTGTAGTATATAGTAAGCACTTGATAAGCGAGAAATGTTAACTCTCCCATTACATGGGCCCCTTGGCTTCCCCCACCAGAAGTATTTGAAACACATTTATCTTGGAAAAAAAAAGCCTGACCCTAATACCTCCCGCTCTTTCCTTTTCTAACTGTTAAGCTTCTGGAAACACGCTCTAGTTATACAAATTCCAGATCTTGCTTCCAGCCCTCTCCCACACATCAATCAGTCCACCTTGCGCATTAGGGCCAGATGCATCTTCCTACAACATGACTGTCATCCCAATCTGCCCTGCTCAAGATCTCCTACTGTCTACTGCCCTGACATCAAACCTAATGGACTCTTAGCTCTCCAGACCCAGGAATCTGACCCTTCCTCCCCAAATCAAACTTAGCTCCACTCCTACCTGACAACCAGAGCTGGGACAAGCGTGAGGTGAGGGAGATGTTCCCCAAGGCACAAAACTTAGGTGGTACCAAAAACTCAGTAATCAGGATAGATAATATCTTAATGCAGTATTTTTTTTTTAATCAAAATTAAGGGGCGCCTGGGTGGCTCAGTCGGTTAAGCGTCTGCCTTCAGCTCAGGTCATGATCGCAGGGTCCTGGGATCGAGTCCTGCATCTGGCTCTGCGCTCAGCGGGGAGTCTGCTTCTCCCTCTGCCTCTGTGATCGTTTTTGCTCTCTCTCAAATAAATCCTTTAAAAAATAAAAATAAAAATTAATGCAAAAAGATCTATGAACAACAAAATATCCAAATTTTTAACAAAGTCTTTGAGAACTAACTTGCACCCACTCTGCCCCTCAATCTACGTTCACGGGGTCTTGGACATGAAAAGAAGGTAGCCACTCAAAACTCCACGAAACCCACAGATCTCAAAGAGAGATCATTCTGAATCTCCCCCTCCCACAGCCCCCTTGCTACACCTCCAGCACCACCAGAATCTTAGCTTTTGTTGATGAACGTGTAAGGTTTTGGCTTTGAGGTGTGAAGCCATCTGCAGATCCTAGAGCCACAGTGGCTTCCCAGGTCTTAGCATTTTCCATTAGCAGGTGACAGTGTCCGCGAGCCAGGAGGCTTTCGTACACAGTTCACTCAACAATGACTCCGGCTTTGTGTTAGTGAAATGGCAGATATGGAACCCTCAGTCCAGCAGGAAAGGTGTGTGGAGACAGAGAGTCAGATCAGTGTGGCTCAGAGTGAGAGGAACAGACGTGTCCCAGAGAACGCCGCCAAGGCTCAGAGATGGCAGCAGCAGCACCACCAAACAGACACCAGCAGGGGAGGAGGCCTTTGGGCCTTCAGATACGCAGGGAAGGGGGTGGTGGGAGCTGCGAGTAGTGTGGGTGCGTTTTCAGGAGAGAGAAAAGTGAAACGAAAGCAGAGGAAAGAACTCTACAGTTGCTGCCAAACAGGAAAGCGGCGGGTCCCTCCTCTGAACACCTCTCAGCTGGGGTTCCACTTCCAGCACTACTGGGCTAACGGTGTCCATCTCATCACAGTACAAGTCATTTTCAAAAGGTGCTAAACATTGCCTCATCTCACTCAGAAAGACAGGGAAACTGCTTGGAGGCCCCCCTCCCCTTTTAAAAGTCAGTCTTTCACTTCACCCTTGCTTTGGGTGGGGGACTCTGCGGATTGATGAGCCGTCCTCCCTCCTCCCCAGGGCCATTTGCCTTCTACCACTTATCTGACCTCAAGTGAAGAGCTGCAGTTCCCCCACTAAAGGAATTTCAAACATAAGGCAGCAGCTGCACAGAGACTTTTTTTTTTTTTTTTTTTTTTTTTGGATAGAAAAGCCTTGCAGGGAAAGTGCTTGGCCTTGCAAGTCTTTATCTACAGATAACCAACTTGGCCGGGTGTGAGGTTTGCCGAGGATCAGTCACATTAGCAGCTGTACACTTACACATTCCCTGGGCAAATCCCAGCTTCGGGGCCCCACATGCCCTCCCCCGCCCCCCAGCAAGCAGTTCTAATCAGCACGCGGTGCAGCTGAAAGCCACTGCTGAGGCTCGGGCCGAGCACCCTGCCGCCAGGCCCCTCCGGAGTAGGTGTGTGTGTGTAGGGGGCTCCACCTGCCCCTCCGGAGTGGGGAGTGTGGGGGGGCTCCACCTGCCCCCGACAGGCCCTGGGCCGCCAGAACTCTGTGCTCTGACCACATTCAGCCACCAGTGCCCTTCATCCCTTGCACACCACACCGGAAGCTTCACCTCCCTCCCCTGCTATGCTCTCCTGCCACGGGCTCTGTCCCGCCGTCCTCCCTAGTGAACAGCCCCCTCCTCTCCAGAGCCCAAAGCCCTCCACACCCTCAGCCATCACCTGCTGCAGGAACGGACACCTGGCTCCCTGCCCTCCCAGGTCTCGGCTTCCCCACGGCCCTCTCCAGTGGAGGCCGTTCATTTGTTCACACACCTGACCTCAGGGTCAGGAGGTGGGGTCATGGGCCTCCCTGCTCCCCAAGGCCACAAGCTCACCCTCCAATCTCTGAGGTTTAAGCCATGCCCCAGCCCGTGCCCACCTTCTCCTGATTACTCCTCTTGGCAAGAGGCTCACAGCCTTCTCTCCACCCAACTGCCACCACCATCTTATGTGGTCTTCACCGTCCATCCATCGCACGCCCTGGCTCTCTGTCCCTTGACCCCATCTCCAAACACCTTCCCCTGCACAGAATCTCTTCCGACACCAGGAATTCTGACCTTGTGACATTGTGCCCCTCATCCTAATCTCCCCGCCTTCCGGCCCATTCATCCAGTGGCGCCCACCATGCCGACCCTGCCTCCTCGGCCTCACACCCATTCCCTTTCCCACGCTCCCCAGGCCGCCAGCCCCTCTGGTCCCACGTGGCCTCCACCCTATCCAGCTTGAAGCGCATGCTCCCTCTCTGCAATCGCTCTCATCCAACGCCTCAAAATCACCACTGTCTTTCTGAACCCCAACCCTGCATAAGTCAACAGCCTTTTTTGCTGAGCAGACCCCACCGTGGAGAAAAGCACACAGCCTAGGAGATCGGGCCTCCAGATCCATGGCCACCCACCTCAGCTGGGCCCTCTACACTGCCACCAGTCTCTCTGGCCCAGTCCCAAGGAACCCGCCCTGGGGAGCACAGAGTTCCTCCGACCTAACCTTAATCCTTCCATTCTCTCCAGCCCCTGGGGGCCTTGAACCACATTTCCTGCTCCCTTCCTCCTATAAGGACAACCTCTCCCCCTGACCCAGAAACTTAAAAAAGCATCTAAACAAGTCAGAGTGTTCTAGTCTCTCTCCTCTGAGAAACGAGTAAGTAAGCCCTGTATGGGGCACATCTCCCTCAAGCTACTCCCCCTGCTCTCTCCTCTCCTCCTAACCGGAGATCTACACTCCCTGCCCTGCTGTCATCTGGCCCTGCCTCCACCACACCACAGGTGCTCTCACAGGGCCACCACGGGGGCCATTCAAGGTTGCTCCGACAGGACCGAGCCCCACCCCCCCCCACACACACACCCATGCTTCTGTGACATCACATTCCTGTTGTGCACCTGTGTCTCAGCCCGCTCCTCACAGCACCCCTGAGGCTGGAGCTCCTCTAAGACCTCTTAAGGGCCCTCTGCTCTCAACACTTCAACTCCCATCAAACGCTGTTGCCACACAAATCTACCTCTCTAGACAGGTTCATCCAACTGCCTCCTAGACTTCTCCACTCAGATGCTGCAGACACTGCTGATTGTCAACGCAGCCAGAAACAGATTACTTTCTCTTCAACTCCCTTCTCCTGTGTCCCACTCCTTAGTGAATGGCTAGGGCCAGCAGAGAGCTAAAGATCAGTATTTGCAGAATGAATAAATCCTCCCTCTTTCTTCACAGCCAATCACCAAGACCTGTCCATCGTCTTACGACATCCCTGTGGTTCTTGCTTAATTGAGGCTGGCTGCCTCCTAGTCAACGTTCGGAAGGCTCCGGGACCCCTCAATGCCTGCGGGACAGGGATCTTGCCGCCGTGCCCACGGCCCGTGAATGCCGAGCCACCGAGCGGATCACAACGCACTGTGCGGCCGGCCCTGGTGTGCGGCACCTCCGCTGCACTGCGAGCTCACCTCCAGCAGCGCCCGTGGCCCGACCCACAGCAGCCGCTCAGTCAGCGCTTTAGGTTTGCGGTGAATGAACGGAGTACCGAGCGAAAGGGACTAGAGCGCGCCACGGAGTCGGCGGCTAGAGGTCCGGCCGGCGCCAGGCCCCCCGCATGCCCGCTCAGTCCGCACGCCGCGCGCCGGCCAGCCGTCCCACGCGGCGGGCGAGGAGCCCCGCCCCTGTCCCACGCCGCGCCCCCGGCGGCCAATAGAAATGGTCTGCGGGGCACCGCCTCGACACGCTATACACGGACGAGCCAATGGGCGCGCTCTGCGGCGAGCGCCGCTCCTGCCGCGGCTTCTTAGCCAGCCAATGGGAGTGGCTGGCGTATCCCTCCAGGGGGCGGAGCGGGCGGCGCGGGCGCGGAGCTCTGGGACGCTGTGCGGGCGCGGGCCTTCTTCTCACGTCGGCGGTCCTCGCGGGCGCGGTCTCGGCTCCTGCCCGGCGTAACCGACGGATGATGGGGGCTCTGGGCGTCCGACGCGGCCTGGAGTGGCTACTGGGCCTCTACTTCCTCTCCCACGTCCCCATCACTCTGCTCTTGGACCTGCAGGTGGTGCTGCCGCGCGAATTCTACCCGGTCGAGGTGAGGGCGATGGTTGTTCCTGACCCCCGGTGGTCGAGTTTGGGGCTCCTGCGCGCGCTGCGGTGGTTGTACCCTGGCGTCCCCAAGACCTCCCCTCCTCCGCTCGAGCCCCTCCCCCCCCGCCCAGGGTTCTGGTTCTGCCCCCCCTTTCCCTCCCGCCGTCCTTAGGTCCTGCCGGTGCCCCGGCCCCTCCTTACCGGTCAACTCGACGTTTTGCTTGGGGTTTTCTTTGCCCCAGACCCTTATGGGGCAGACACTTTGGTCCTTTTGAAGACAGTTCTGCCTTGGGTGTGTGTAAGGCCCCCACCCCCCACCTCTGGTCAGTGGTCAGTATTTGAGGGAGAAGAAATTGATGGTTTTGTTGCTTCTTTATGGGGAAATAATAATAAAATCCTTGAGTTATTCTCAGATTCTCTTTGAAAAAAATGCCAAATCTTAACATCTGTTGTGTTATTCTTCCCTAAATAGAAGGAATTTTCCCCTAGAACTAAAAACTTTGCGGAGCTCCCATAATAGTTGGGCTAAAATTTGCCAATTAAATATCTTCCTTGGTTTGAACCGATCAACCCTCGGAAAAACTTACTATGAGACTGTAAGAATTTAGTTTGACTTAGAACTTGGAGAGGATGGGGAAACATTTTGTAGTATCATTTGCAGCTGGGTAGCCTTGCTTCTGCTAAAATAAGGAAAGATGGGGAGCACCTGGGTGGCTCAGTCGGTTAAGCTTCTGCCTTCAGCTCTGCCCATGATCCCAGGGTCCTGGAGATCGAGCCCCTCAGCGGGAAGCCGCTCCTCCTGCTTGTGCTCTCTCTCTCTCGCTCTCTCGCTCTCTCTCTCTGCCAAATAAAATCTTAAAAAAAAATAATAAGGAAAGATAATCAGTCTGTGCTCTCATTTTTTTTTAAGAGAGAGCATGATTGGGGAGGGGCAAAGGCAGAGAGAGAGAATCTTAAGCAGGCGCCACTCCCAGTGAGGAGCCCGACCCAGGGCTTGATCTGATGACCCAGAGATCATGACCTGAACAGAAATCAAGATTTGGACGCTTAACCAGCTGAGCCACCCACACACCCCTGTGCCCTCATTCTAAGGTAGGGAAGTATACAGGTTTATTCAGTAGCAACTCCTGGTTTAGAAATCCTTGTGCAAAGGCCAGGTGAATAGTTTAGTGGATAACAGTGATAGGTTTAGTGAAATATGAGTCAGGTATAAACCTTTTTTGGGTCTTACCTAATAATAATTCTTACGACCAGTTGCATGGTGAGATTTTAATGGGATTAAACTTGAATTTCTCTGAATATGTGTTAATTACATTCACTTAAGTAATGGTAACATTTACTGTGTGCTTGCCACTGTTCTAAAAACCATGTACATTAAGTCATTTTATCTCACCAGTAGTGAGGTAAGTACTACAACTGGGAAACAAGTTGAGTGAGATTAAGCGCTTTGCCCAGAGCCACGGATTGCACCCCCCCATGTCCCATGCTCTTCCCTCGCCAGGGACCTGTGATTTGCCTTCCATCTGCCCTTAGTCCAGGCCTTGTTTTCATATCACGTGGCTATTATGGGACTGTGGGCAGGTGCTTGGATCTTAATTGATTGCTTCAAGAGCTGGCTGATTAGATTACTTTGAGTTTTGCTAATCTCATCCTGCAGCCCTCAGAAATTACCCATGCTGTGTAGAACTGTCTGGATTTACGAAATAGGTGGATCTGAGAGGTTGGAATACAGATTGAATAGAAAATGAAATTCAAACAAACCAGAATGCCTTGTATTCTACGGCAAATCTTCAAAGCAGGTCATTCCCTCCAGTATTTTTTTTTTTTTTTTAAAGAAAATCTGGAAAGCAAAAAAGGACCTTAAACATTTGGTCCAAGTTGCTTGTTTTACAGATGAGGAAACAGAGCCCAGGAGAGATGCAGGGACTTAACCTTTATGAGTATTTTCTACCCCATTACCACCCTGAAAAGTGCCTAGAAGGAAGCTAAGGGTATTGCCGTGGATTTCAATTTGAAATCAAGTACAAATTCGATATCACTTGGTCAATAAACTGGTTATCAAGCCAGAGCCTTCCTGCAATTAAGATCATGCTAACAGAATGTTTGTTTCTGGATATTTGCTTAAAGCTTACTTTCAGCAGTGAGGCCTCAATTTCACAATAGTGAGTCTTAATCTTTTGATTAAAAATTAACAGGAAAAATATCTTTGGATTTTTCCATTGCAGGCAAAATTCTCACACTGGAAGTTGCCTTTATCATAATATCAAGAAACCTATTTGGCTTTGGAGGCAGGTGTGTCAAGACAGGATGTAAAATGCGACAGACCCTTGGTAGTCCGTGTGGTGTGGGGAGCCCTGCGCTTCGGGTTCTTACAAAGGGTACAAAATGGGCAACCTCAAACCTTTCTGCTTCCTTCCTCTGCCCCCACAGCCACGTGTTCACAGATCAGCATCTTGATTTAACAGTGTAATTAGGAGGGTGGGCCCCAAGCTGGAACCGAGACTGCTAATCCTCAGGCCCTGACATAGCCTAGAAGCTCTGTAGTTTGTGGTTTGGGCAGTTTGTTCTATAAATAGCCTACTGGGGGCGCCTGGGTGGCTCAGTCCGTTAAGCCGCTGCCTTCAGCTCAGGTCATGATCCCAGGGTCCTGGGATCGAGCCCCACGTCGGGCTCCCTGCTCAGTGGGAAGCCTGCTTCTCCCTCTCCCTCTGCCTGCCTCTCTGCCTACTTGTGCTCTCTCTCTCTGTCAAATAAATAAATAAAATCTTTAAAAAAAAAAATAGCCTACTGGTCTCCTACAAGAAAACTCTGCAGAACTAGAGTAGTTAAGAATGATGAGCTTGAGATTTAGGCATTAAATTGCATCTTTATAGAAGTTAAATGTATCTCCCTTCCATCCCCCCACACCCCGCCCCAAAAGACAAACTCGGTTCATTTCTGTATTTGAGGCGGTCTGGCCCTCGGAGCCTGGTGTGCAGCTGCTCTACTTCCAGCCAAATGGTAGGACGCTCTTCATGGCTGTCCTTTACCAGGAAGCAGGTTGTGGCAGATCTGTTGCCTTTGTATGTTCATTCCTCGAACTGAGAGCCTACTAAGTGCTAGATATCGTTGCTCTTGACAGTGGGCAACACAGCAGGCTGTGTGTTGTCATAGAGTCAGGAACAGATGCCGCGCAGCCCAGAGGGCCTGGAAGAGCTGAGAGAAGCCTCTCGGAGGAGTGAGGGAGCTTTTCCGAAGTGACCCTCTGGGCTGCCGCGGGGTGGAGCTGCTAGCCTGTCCTGCCAGGCGGCTGCGTGCGTCGTGACCTTTGTCTCTCCTCAGCTGACAAACCTGCTGAAGTGGTATACTAAGGAGTTCAAAGACCCTCTGCTCCAGGCCCCCCCAACATGGTTTAAGTCCTTCCTGTTTTGTGAGCTTGTGTTCCAGCTGCCTTTCTTTCCCATAGCGACGTACGCCTTCTTAAGAGGTAGGTAACTGGTGGGGAAATCCCACTGTTGCTCTGAAATTAGGTCCCAGAAATCTTTTGGGAAAGTGTCTCAGAGAAGGGGAGCGGTCCCTGTAGTTTGTGCGAGGGTGATCTTGGGTGGGGTAGCGTGCGAATGGCAGGAGGGGGCTGGTGAAGGGGCGTTACTGTGGCTCAGGCCTGTGCCCGTGCTTGGCTGGAAATCTCTCCTACGCTGGAGGGCGCTTACAGATTGAACTTGTTCCTTTTTATTGTTTTTACCCCTGCAGAATTTTCCTTTTATCATTGGCTTTTATTTTTCTGATTTGGGTAGCACCAGACTGGCTTTTGAGCAGTAGCATCCAGCTCACCCCGGAAGGGCTTCACTTCTCATTTATTCTTACAGTGTTCCCCTGTGACTAACGCTTTTATAAAGACGGGGGCCACACTCATGTACATGGTAACTAAGCTCATACAGCCTCTTTCCCACTGCAGCCCCCAACTCCCTGTCTTGGCAGAAGCTGTTGACCTCTCACCTATATATAATCACTAACGGATGCTAGTGGCCGGCCCCTCCCCCCCGCCTTGTGTAAACTGTAATGGCCATTTTACTGCCCTAGAGTTTTTCTCAATTAAATTCCGACCCCCACCCTTGGTTCTCTGGCAGTCAGTGTACTAGAGCCCCAGCTCCGTGCATTAGGCAGTATTAGAGCACCCCCAGTTCTCCATTCATTTGCAGTGGGAGGGTAGACGGGGTCAGCTGAAGGGGGCAGGCGGGGAGAAGACTGTGGGCAGCCCTGGGGTCACGGACAGACCAAACGCTTATCTCTCTCTCTTCCCCCCCCCACTTCAGGAGGCCGCAGGTGGATCCGCACCCCTGCAATCATCTACTCAGTTCACACCATGACAACTCTAATTCCAATTCTCTCCACGTTTCTATTTGATGATTTCTCCAAAGCCAGTGGTTTCAAAGGACAAGGACCTAAGACTTTCCACGAACGACTTACCCTCTTATCTGTCTATGCCCCCTACTTTCTCATCCCTCTTATGCTTCTGCTTTTCATGTTGTGGAGCCCCTACTACAAGTATGAGGAGAAAAGAAAGAAAAAATGAGAGAAATAATGACTGGCCTGGTGGGGGGGTGGGGAGATGCCCATAGGGCAGTTTTCCGGTTGGACCCAGTATGAGGAAAACTGCTCAGAACCCATGTCTTCAGTAGCATTTGAAACCCACCAGTGACACAGAAAGAACAAGACTCTGGCAGGAGCCACATCAGAAGCCCCCCCTCCTGAGGACAGTGGCGCAAACAGACCAGTCACCTGAGCACGGACTGAAGGGTGTGGGCTAGGTTATAGGGAAGTGGTGCCAAATACCTCACCGTGTGCCCAAGTTCCATCGTGAGCAGGACCAGACCAGATCCTGTATAAACTTCCAAGAAACGTGGCCTGCTTGGCACCTGACCCACAGTGCCCATGTGATTAAACCCCTGACTCCTGATTCTCCGCAGCATATCCTTTATCAGCAAAATGAAGAGTGGGATTTTTCAGGTCATTTTTAAGTTTGAAATTATGCCTCTTTAATATTCATTAAAAACTGTATCATGGGTTTTTTTGCCACCACCCTTGGTTGGGGACAGGTTCTGCAAGAGGCCTAAACTTGGTTTTACTCAAGGGTCAGCTCTGGCCTGACGTTCAGAAATGGATTAAGCTGGAAGGTGTTTTGTTTGTGTCTTAAACAGGTCATCCCAGAAAAGATTTTTTTTTTTTTAATCATCTCCTGATTCATTCTTTCCATACCTTAGTCTTCTCTGTTTTTACAGACCACCTGACATAAGTCCCTTCCCTCTGAGGTCTGGTGTCTCAAACCTGATCTGGGAGTGTGCTTCCTGTTGGATAACTTCACCCTTCCTGAGAGTTTCATCATCCATCCTGGCCTGTTCTCAAAGTGGAAGGGCAGCTGGGCATGAGATGTCCATTGTGTAAATGCAGGGTCTCTTCACTGGTTCCTTAGCTTTCTCTAAATTTGTACTCGAGGTCAACTCAAACACACACACACACACCTGTGAACACACATGGAAAATGATAACTGGTCCTGTCTGGTTCCCTCTTTAAGTCTGTTTTGGTCACAAGCCATATTGTTCTGATTGTTGGGAGTATCATCTGACTCATGTGTCTGGTCCAAATAAAGGTCCCTGCTGACCACTGCCTGGTTTGTTTTGTGGATGAGGGAGGGGCTCAAGAGTCCAGAGTTCTCTCAAGATGTTAAATGTACACTTTAAGGGCACCAGGAAAAGAGGTAGATCAAGCCATCTGAAAACAATAATTTATTGCTCTTCCTTTCCAAAGCTTTGAATTTACAAAAAAAAATCATTTACAGACTGCTCCGTTCAGGCTAAGAATGCCAAGAGCTGAGAGCCTGGACCCCCGTGGCCACAGGTGTTCACCAGCAGCTGCGCACGGACATCTGCAACAAGCTCCCCAGATTTGTTTCCTGCCTTCAGAGATGCTGCGTGCGTTACACACCATCTCTCAGGATATACGTGGGCCATTAGACAAGTCACAGGAACAGTACAGAGGTTTTTTGGGGTCTTATTTTTTTTGCCCTTCTATAAAATGAAATTTTCAGTTCATTTCTGAAAAATAAATTGGTCAATAAATTCATTTTGTTCTGCTTCTACTTTACACAAAGCTTCATATTCAACCCGATACCTGAAAAACAAAATTGTTAGAAGCCCTAAGAATGGATGAAATAAACCATGGATTTAATTCTTCCAGAGAAGAATATAAATGACTTAAATAATGCCAAGAAATGGTGTGAGTTCACAATGCAGAAGGTAGGGTAAGAAAGAACAAAGAGGCAAAGCCCACCCGAGGGCCACCCATGAGAAGTGTCCAGCCCCGAGAGGGGTTTTCCTTCAGGAGAACCAGCCAAATCTGGACACTTGCTACCTGAGCTTTCAAGCTCTCGATATTAGAGGTGGTTTTGTATTAAGATATTTTCTTTCTCATCAAATGTAATTTTATTTTTTTAAGTCTTCAAATCAGGATGACAAGTGAGACACTTCCTGGGAGAACAATGATGAAGGAGGAGGAGAAGAGGTGACCGTTCAAGAAGGAAAAATGGAATTGCAGTTGAGTAAAGAACTAGCTTTACATCTTACCTTTCAAGCTGCATCTTCTTTTCTGCTATTAGTGCTTGGAGTTGCTGCTGTTGGGCTTCTCTCTGTTTTGCTATAGATTTGAGCAAGTTCCGAGCACCAATGGCCTAGAAAAATAGTATCACCAAAGAAGATCATGGCTTCATTAAAACCATCTTCAGCATTAAGTCCTCAGCCAAGGAAGGGCCACTTGGGGGCTGTCTCAGTGCCCAGCTGGCAAGAGAGTCGAGCCCCTGAGCCTCAGGAATAAGGGGGAGGAATAACTGCATGATCCCCAGTGCCTAATGAGACCTGGATTGCAGCTCAGGGGCAGGTCTACGAGTATCCCCGAGTCTAGCACACAGGTGGTCAGTGGCCCATTTAGTGTGCCATTTAGCCTTGGGTCCTTTGCCAAGTCATCGACACCCTGCATGCCTACATTGCTTCACTTATAAAATGAGCATAAAACCACCTATCTCAGTGATGTGAAGATTAAAGGCAAGAATGACAAGGTGTACTAGCATATGAGTTCAACAGGAGGTTAACTGCACTTGTTACTAAAACCCTGTTTTGTTTTTTAAGGTTTTATTTATTTTTTGACAGCGAGAGAGGGAACACAAGCAGGGGGAGTGGGAGAGGGAGAAGCAGGCTTCCCACGGAGCAGGGAGCCCGATGCGGGGCTCGATCCCAGGACCCTGGGATCATGACCTGAGCCGAAGGCAGATGCTTAACGACTGAGCCACCCAGGCACCCCCAAATCCTGTTTTAAATAAAATCCCACACCCCCCCTCCCCAAGAAAAAGAACGAGTGAACCATGTCCCAGGCCAAGATTTAGAAGGCCTGCTGATCTTACCTTCATCTTCTCATTTTCTGCTTCTTTTGCAAGTTGGTCAACAAGCTCAATTAAACCACCAACTATTTTCTGAAACTGGCCAATTTCTTTTAGGGAAAGAACAGAAAATAAAAGGTTTTATTTTCTCGGCATCACCACTCCCTCTGTGTTCCCATGTGGCAAGAGGGCAGGGCTAACTGCCCCTTCTAATTTGTGTCAAAACAATTTGGTGCCTGCTGACCTAAAGTCTTCCACGCTTGGTCTAAACCGAGAGAAGGGTGGCCAAGTGCCCAGAGCTGGACTGGGGCATCCTTGGACCTTGAGTCCCAAATGAGCCAGCCAGTGACTATTAACCTTAGGTATGAGGCTCCTGATGGGCCCATCCTCTGCACAGGCTCTATCCTGCTTTTGCAGGAGTGACAGGAAGCACAAAGGGCCATGTTCATGAAAGGACTGACTCAGGACTTGAACAGAGCCTCCTGACTAGCCCCAGATAAGGAACCAGATTTCAGTTAATGGTGGTTAGGGGGGCAGTGGTTTGCCAACTGTAACCAGAGCTAATAAAGAGCTCAAAGCATTTAAGTACCTAATCTCCCATTCGCTATTTTCAATGTCCTTGGGTGTGATGGGACCTCATTCTACTGAGGAATGAACTAGGACCCAGGGAGGAAGGACAACAGGCAGTGAGAAGACTGGCAATGGAGCCCATGCCGCCCTTCACCAGTCAAGCTTCCTACAGACTATGGAGTGCGCAGAAGGCTCAGAAATTCCTGCTTGTCAACAACACAATGGAAATCCCTGCTTTAGCTAGAGCTGCCCTGTATTCACTGCCACTCGGCTTGCTTGCCTGCTGGGACAGGAGGTGTCCTGGATATCTAGCTAAAAAATGACCTCATTGAGTCTGTTGATCTTCCAAGAAATCAAATCATGAGTACATAACTCTTTCCCACCCTCAAGCCATAGTTCTGCCCCATGAAGTTCAAGGTTTCTGAGAGCAAAAAAATCAAAGATGGGATATCCTCTCTCCATTTCACCATTTGTCTTGACTGATGCTCTGTGTCTGACTACATGTGAGCATCAGAGAGCAGGGAGACAAGGTGGTTGGTATGTGGGAATTCCTAAAGGCCAGACACAACATCCAGAGAGGCACTAGCCCTGTTCTGGCCAGGGTGACAGCTGCGGGTGGGAGTGGAGGTGGGGCACCACGTCTCCCCAAATGACACTCACTGTCCACAAAATCCTTGCACTCTTCCTTGAGCTCTGTGGTCTGCTGGGTAACCTCAGGGTCCAACACGCGCAGCTTGTTCAGCTCATCAAAATGCAGCCCTGCTTCACCCAGGATGTCCTTGGCCATAGCTGTGAAGAAAGCAGCCTGAGTCCCCGATCACTTCCCAGCCACCCAAGGAAATGCCCGCTTCCAGCCCAGCCCCGCTCCTGCCCCCAGACACCAGTGCCAAAACCGCAGACGTTCCTCCGAAGGCTCCCCTTCCCTCTGCCTCCACCTCTCTGAGCCTCACCTGTTTCCCTTCCGGTTTCCCTAGAGAAGAGCAGCTCTGCTCTGAAGGGGTGCTAGTGGCAGTCAGGAGGAAGTGTGTCATAGGAGCAAGGGTCAGGAAAGAATAAAGTCCAGTTGCTTGTCACGGGCATCGTTCATTCAACACACATTTCTTGAGTGCCTACCACATGCCAACACTGCTAGATGCTGGGGGCACAAAGATGAGCGCGACACGGTGCCCGCCCTGGAGGAGCACATAGTTTAGCTGGAGGAAGACAGACACGTAAACTGAGAAAGTATGCTGTGTTAAGTGCTTTTACAGAAATATCACTCAAGTGTTGCAGGAGAACAAAGCAGTTAACAGGGTGAGCGAGTAACATTTGAACTAAATCGTGAGAAGCCATAAGCATATTTATCCCCAATTATGTACCCAAAAGGACATGAAAAAGCTTTTCCAGTACAGTCCTAGCATAACACCAAAAGCAAGGAAAAGAGGAAATCTGCATGACTTAAAAATGAGAGTTAAAAATAAGCCAGGAATAAGGACATTATCCACAATATATGTCACAGGCATGTTGGCCTGAACTAGGACCAAAGTTGGCTCCGTCTCTTTCTAGCAGAAAACACAAAAAGGAACGAAGCATCAGCAAGAACATACCAAGTGAGGAGGCTAGGGAAAGGCTTCCCAAGCAGAGAAAACAGCACGGACAAGCGTGTGAAGTCACTGAACCGGCCAGAAGACCTAGAAGATGAAAGCACCGAGGACGGAGCTGCAAAGGGCAGCTGGGGCCAGGTCAGAAAGAGCCTGTGTGCCCAACTAAGGAGTCCGGGTTTCTTTCTGTAGGCAAGAGAACCAGCAGAGATATCTTTTCCCATCCTAGGGCACCCTGCATTCCTGGTCCAGAGGATGCCTCAATTCTGGGAAGGAAACACTGAAAACTCACCCTCGTTCTGGCAAACACACGCACACACAAATTAAAAAGCACACACAACGCTACTTAGGGCTAGCCACCGGCTGCCACACCAATTCCCAAACCCCAGGTGTTCCAAAGGCTACCACCAGCTGGCCCTGCGCCAGCCCTTTCCTCTGCTCCCACCTCCCCCAGCTGTTTCCCTTCTGTCTTCCTTAGAAAAGTTCTGTCCCAAATGGGGTGATTATGGGAGTAACTTCCCAGAGCAGGTATACCATAGGAGGAGCAATGGTTAAAAAAGAATTAAGTTCCCCAGCTGCCAGAACTGATTTTCAAGACAGCCAAAAATCCAGATTTAGAGATGAAATCTGATATTTAAAGGAAAGTATTGAATTCAAAATTTTAAAGGAAAAACCACATCTAACACTGTGGGCCAACTAATGCATGTCTATAGGCTGTCTGTGTAGGACTGAGCCGTTGGCCTACTGGAATCCACTGAAGGAACTAAGCTAGCTAGCATCTTCCTTTTGAAACATTTTAATCATCCCGAGCTTCCTTTTAATCGAGCTTTTTTAAAAGATCCGTCTTCCTGCTGTTCTGTTACGTTTACACATATAGTCCGAGCATTTGACACCTACCAGGTGATTAGTCAGACCAGCTACTCTAGGAAGCTTCCAGTAACCTGAGGGAGCAAATATCTGCTTCCACTTCCACTCCCTTCCCTGAGAGGATGCATTTATTCAGAAACATTTCTGATCTCTGGACAGACAGTAAACAAATAATCACATATTTTGAGGACAGTATGAGGAAAAGCACATGGTGCTACATAAAGCTGCAGCAAGAGGACATAATTCATATGGGGGGTGTCTCAACAAAAACTCCTTTTTAAAAATTATTTTTAAAGGTTTTATTTATTTGAGAGAGAGAGAGAGAGAGAGAGAACAAGCAGGGAGAGAGGGAGAAGCAGGCTCCCCGCCCATGGGGCTCGATCCCAGGACCCTGGGATCATGACCTGAGCCAGAGGCAGATGCTTCACCGAGTGAGCCACCCAGGTGCCCCCTCAACAAAAGCTTCTGAAAACATGACACTCAAGCTGAGACCTAAAGAATATCCAAAAGTTTGCCAAGTGAAGCAGGGAGGAGGCGTTCCAGGCGGAAGGAAAAGCATGTGTGAAGATCCTGAGGCTAAAAGAAATGTAATGCATTCCAGGAACCGAAAGGCTAGCGTGGTTAAAACCCAGTGAACTGGGGGGGAATGTGGAACAGGGTAAGTCTAGATGGGGAGG